TGTTCACAGGGCTGCAGCCACCCCGGGGGTGGGTGGGGCTGCAGGGAGTTTAGGCAGGGGGTGCCCGGGCAGATCTGCGAGCAGCAGGGCAGGGACGGGGCAGCTGAGAGGAGGAGAGGCTGAGGTGGGGAGGTGGGGACCTCATCCCGGGTGGACGCTCCCTGGGCCGAGAAGAGGGCCAGGGGGAGGCCGGAGAGATGAGATAAGGAGGGGACGGATTCACGGGAACTGTGGGACTGGCAGGCGTAGGAAATGGGGTGAGGGGGCCCCAAGCAGGGGACCTCGGTCGTGCAGGAGCAAGTGCGTCCCTGGGGGCCAGAGGAGAGCTCTGGGCAGGAGGTGGCTAGCCTCGCAGGTGTGCGTCTGGCGCTGCCGTTGACTCAGGTGGGCTGGGGTTGGCTGCGGCGCTAGACCCGCTGGGTCCTGAAGCCATGGGAGCACTTCTCTCCCGTCAAGGGAGGCGTCCTGGGCTGGGTGCAGGCTCCAAGGTCACGACGGCCCAGCGACTCTGGTGGCCCTACCGGCCTTGCCGGGCGGAACCCCACCCGGGTCTGCTCAGCCGGGGGAAGGACGCCACGAGGAGGGCCCCTCCCTTCAGGAGACGGCTTCATGAGCTGCCCGGACGCCGCCGCTCACGTTCTGTGCCCAGAATATAATCGCACGTTGGCTTCTAGCAGCAAGAGGAGCTGGGAAACGTAGTGCATATCCTGGCTGCTCTTTGCCCAGCTCCACGTCAGGGCTCGGATCCCGAGGAAGAAGGCAGAGTGACGTCGGGGACAACTGGTCTCCGCCAGAGGCACCTTTGGGCGGCTGCCTAGTTTCTTTCGGCATCTGTTCCCACACCTGCGATGAGGACACGAGGAGAACCTGCCTCACGGGGCACTCGGGACGACGTCTGTGTGGGTGCTCTGTGAAGGCAGCAGGCTGGGCACCGGGGGCCAGGAGAGGACCACCCCAAGGGGCGTGAGCATTGGGATAGGCAGAGGGTGAGGGGCTGGGGAGGCGAGAGGCGGGGCAGCGAGGCAGGGCGAGTTCACTGAGGAGGACGGGGGTCCAGGCTGTGGAGGGCAGTGGAGGAGTGAATGAGCCGAGGTGCTCGTGACCCTGGGACATCAGCTTCAGAGGAGAGTGGGGTGGAAGCCAGAGCGGCAGGGAGCAACAGCCGGCCAAAATGACACCCAGTGATGTGTGGACGTCTGTGCAGGGCTGCCACGTCTCCTACAGGGAAGGCACCCATGGGGGCCCCAGGCTGGCAGCAGTGGGAGGACACCACGGCCACCTGCCCTGGCCACCTGGTCTTGGAGGTGGGAGGGAGGCCTCGGAGGCCAGCCAGAGAAGGGAAGTGAGGTGCGGAAGGCTCGGAGGGGCGGCAGACCTGCTCCCCAAATCCCTGCAATCAGAAGCACAGTCACCAGGGCCTGGGTCACTTCCAGGCAGGACACAGGTCATTCCGACAATGATCACGCTCCTCTTGAGAAATTATCTGAAGCTTTATTAAATAAACCAAGTAGAAACACACCTATTCACATCCAAGTCGTCAGTTTGAGCTCAAGTGGTATCAAGGCACCATTCTTCCTGTCTCAGCTTCAGGAAAATAAATCACGAGGCCCAGCCCAAAGGACGGGACTGGATTCACACCTGTGGCTCAGAGTTCCACGGGACTCCAGACACAGTGTCCACGCGAGACGGGCTCTGGGTGCGCCTCCAGACTTCCTGAGCACGGCGGGCCTGGGCTGGGGGCAGGGGCCGCCTTCTGGAGGCGTCTGGGGCTGATGGACTGGGGAGCTGAGGAGAAGGGAGATTTCTGTCTTCTCCTTCCTAGCCCCTTCCTGGAGGGCAGGCCCTGCGGCCCTCGGAGGAGCTGCCTGGAGGGTGTGAGCCCAGCGAGCTGACCGCCAGGGAGGCCATCCCCACCGGGGCGGGACAGAGGCTCAGATCGCTGCAGTGTGCCACCGCTGCACCAAGGGGGTAACAGATAAGCCTGGGTCTTTGTGCGTGGGCAGGACACGGTGGCTCCTCCCCATGCACAAACAGAAAGGTCCCCGTCTCCAGCTCAGGGATGCTTCCTAACTACGATCCCGATGTCCCTGTGCTGACGCAGGAGCCGGGACAAAGAGAACGAGCCGGACTCCACGGGACGCCCCCACGGGGCCGAGGCCGAGCCCAGGAGACATTTCCACAGCTTAGGAAACAGAGCAAGTCGATTCACAGCGGCCCGCGGGGGTGGGGAGCAGCCGGCTCTCTGGCCTCTCAGCTCTGCAGCACCTCCGTGTCTCCCGGGGCAGAGCCAGCAGGGCTGGTGGCTGCGGTCCTGGGGCTCTTGTGCAGCATCGGGGCTGCCCCAGACGCTCACGGCTGCTCACTCCCCTCGCTTCCTAGCAGGAGCCAGACTCGAGAAAAGCCAAGTTTCCACAGGGAAAAAGCCCACAGAAATAAACAAGTAATTAAGAAGTCCCTTTCCTGAGACCACTGCAGTAACGTCATCCAGATAACTAACAGCGCTTCTGTCCACTCGCAGTCTCGATTTGAGAGACTCGAGGAAAATAAGAGCAGGAGCGCACATTGTCCACAAGCGGGCATACCGAAATGAGCCAGAAGTCTTAGCCTTTGCAAGACTCTGAAGTAAAAACAAACAAACAAGAAACTTCAAGTCCTACGTACAAGAATAAGCTAATGAGCACGGCCTAGACTGCGGTCTGTGAGAACAGAGGCGGCGGCGACCTCGGGGCTCACTCCAGGCCGCAGGAGCGCGACTGTCCCTGCTGCGGAGGCCCAGTGGCGCCAGGCTGTCTGTGCGGGCAGCCACCGGCCCAGCCCCGCGTGCTGACTAGTGTGAGGTGTACGCAGGGCTCCACAGCCCCGAGGGAGACTGACTCTGGAGGCAGTGCACTGAAAGGCGTCGGCGATGAGGCAGCAAAACCTAGGGTGGAAAGAGAAGAGGTGAGCAACAGAGCAAAAGGGAGGGCTCGACGCTCCTCAGATGTGTCAGAGCAAACGCTGCCGAAGTGCCCACGGCAGGCCCAGGATGCCTTCCTAACAACGCTGCCCCCAGGCATTCCTGGGCCAGCGAGGGAATCCAGAGGGGGCTTGTTGCGCTGGCCCTAATGAGGCAAGGGTGAAGGCTGGACATGCAGAGGCCGGGAGCTTGACCTCTGACCTCCCAGAGTGCACAGCCTGCTGGGGCATATGACAAGCAGGTCTCAAGATCGCAAGGAAGTGTCCAGTCCATGGGGCACACAGGGAAAAGGCCCATCTATCTGGGCAGGCACGGCCTCTTGGGCAGAGAAACCTGCATGAACAAGGACTCCAGCGCGAGCAGAGGGTCTGGAGTGTTCGGGAGACAACGGAAAGCCCCAGTGTGGCCCGGCAGCACAAGGAGGGGTGTGTGGGGAGATGCAGGTAGACAGGGTGAGCACCCACTGCGAGGACAGCTGGATAATGGATCAGAGTTGCAAGGCAAGTGAGCTGTTCTGTTGAATAGTCCATGGCCTTCCCTGGCGTTGCTTCCCAGGCCTGAGAGGCAGCCTGGTAGGCTAGGATTCTAGAGGCCCAGGAAGCAGGTGGGATCTCGTTACCCGAAAAATGCATCTATATACAATACTGCTTCCTCTTCCAAAAAATTCACTGACTCCTTGAAGCTTGGTCATGCCCACCAGCTCAAGGATTCTTTGTGTAGGGAAGAGAATCTCGAGTAGGAGTCAGGAGATCCAAGGGCTCCATGTACAGCTGTGCACGTTGCGCACTGCACCCTTTCAGGGGACACCACTCAGACAGACGCCTCAGGGCCACCAGAGAACTGGACTATTAAGAGGAATAGGCCTCGTGATTCTTCTCCATCTGGGAAATCCCTCATCAGGACTGCCCAGAATCCTCATCTTGGGGTCAGCCGGTCCAAACCCAGCTCAGAGCCCGCTGCAGCAGCCCTGGCAGGTAGGATCCCAGGTCCAGTGTGCACATCTGCAGAGACTGAGGTCCCTGCACCAGCTCCTCCGCCCTGCTCAGCTCTGCCTGGGGAAAGCTCTCCTTGTCCAGCTCCCCCTCACAGGCTCCCGGATCTGCCCTCTGTACCTCATGCCACAGCTGCAGCTCTTACCCAAGGCCCGGCCTTCTGAGTTGGGGTTCAGGGCCTGGGGCCCCCTCGTCCCCCAGGATCTTCCTTCCAGCCCCTTGACATGCACCCGCCTCCCGGCAGAGGTGAAACTAACCCCTCTGCGAGCCCCCCTCCTCAGCCGCATCTTTAAACCCTCCCTTTCTGACTGCGTCTGTAATTCCGGGCCCTCTCTATTTGAGGGGGGCCTTCTCAGGAATCTGCCCAGCACAGAATTTGACACACAACAGGCGCTCATCCGCGACTACAGAATAAATGGATTCATTCATTACTGAGCACCTACTGTATACTAGGCAGGCCCTGTTCTAAGTGCTGTCCTCACATACTTAACTGCTAGCTGGGGCCCAGCAGAAATCACGATAACCAATCATATTAGTTAGCCTACAGGCCGACAGCTGGCAACAGTGCTGTGGAACAGCAGGGCAGGAGTGTGCGCGAGTGAGGCCGGAGTGCTCACGTTATGTGAGAAGGCAGTGATGGAGGAAGGTCAGACGGACAGCAGGGTGCTGGCCAAGGGGCCGTCTAGGGGAACAGCATCCCAGGCAGAGGAATAGCGAATGCCCAGGGCTCGAGTTGGGGCTGCACACGTTCCACAAGCAGGAAGGAGGCCAGCGTGGCTGAGCAGGGTGTGCCGGGGGGACAAGTCATAAAGGGTCGGGAGGGCAGATCACGCGGGCCTTCCGGGACGCTGGAGGGACTGGGGCTTCACCTCCCAAGGGGGGTGGGAGCCATGGCAGAGCGTTGAGGGAGGACGGGCTCGATGTAGTCACATTTAACAGGATCCTCTGGCTGCCGTGCTGAGAACAGACTGGGAAGCAGAGCGTGCACGACTGCACAGATGAGCGACTTGCACCTTGTGGGACGGCCTGCATTTCTGACTCCTCCGGGTCCCAGACTCCCAGGTTTCCACTGACAGCCAGGACCGCTCGGCCCGGCCCTCCCTGCCCAGGTGCGTCCCAGCTGGTGTCCCGTCCCGTGACTCACAAGGCCCGGGCCCTCGGCGATCCATCACAAAGGCCACGGTGACCGGGATGGTGAGGGCTTGGTTAGTCGTGGGGCTGGAGAAGGTCAGGGCGGTGGACAGAGGCCCCTGGCTGCCGGCCGCGGGATCCGAGACACTGACTGTGTAGGTGAGGAAGCTGGGAAGCCCCAAAGACTTCTCCTTCACGAAGGCCAGCACAGCCGGGGACCCCGATTTCACCTGGGAGAGACATCAGTGCTGGAGGGGAGCACCCCCACTCTGGCTGACAGGCCGGGCTTCCCTCCCGAGCCCAAGGCTAGGGGTGGGGACCCCTGCCCAGGCCCCACTTCCTAGGCAGGGGGTGATGCCTGGGCACTTCTAGCTGACAGCGTGTGATCCGCCAAGCCAGGGCAGGAGCACACGGCCTGTACTCGGGTGTGTGCAAGGAAGGGACAAATCGGTATCATGAAATTCTAATCAAGTGCTCTTTAAAAAAAAACGCCACACTGACGTGAACTTCCACCAAACACTAACTTTCCAAGGGAGCAGCCTGGAGCTCTGTTAACGGCCGATCGCCAGCAGCCCAACCCTGGGGCCTGGCGGATCCTCCACCACCAACAATGAATTCATCCCTGTCTCGCTGCAAGAACGTTCAGCCACGTTTGCTGCAGCGAGACAAGAGGAGGAGCAGGCAGAGAGGCCAATGAAGCCCCTCGCCGCATCACCCCAGACCTCCTCCCAGCTCGCCACACTCCATGACCTATGATACCGTTCACCTGCCATTCAGCAGATGGGGAAACTGAGGCCCAGAGCCGTAGGGAGTCAGCGATAGGTTAGGGATCAGAGCTTTTCTTCCTGCCCCACGTCAGCGTGCACTCCCGCACTGAATTCATTCCTTTGACACACTGAGTGTCCCCCGAGCATGTGCTCTGTGTCAGGCTCTGTTCTAAGTGCTGCCCTCGCTCAAGGAACTTCCAGTTGGGGACGACCCACAGAAATCATAATGACTAGTGCAATCATATAGATGTATTTGCCATCATTGCTAATTAGATGGCAATGGAAAAAAGAAAGGGTCACGATATTTACATTTTTAAAAATTTTTAATTCTAATTTATAACTCTAAGGAGAGGCGGTCCAGGATTTCCATGTTCCACCTGGCCCTCCCTGCCTCCGGGCCCTTTCCGAAGCCCCTGCGATGCACAGACACCACTCACCTCCAGGTTCTCCAGAATCTCTATGGCACCAAAGACCTTGACCTCAGAGTTGGTTGCTCAAGAGGATTCCAGCCTGGTCGGCGTAAAGCCCTGGGCTGAAGGGCACCTCGGCCCCGACCTGCTCTCCGGAGAAGGCACCGCCCAGGATGGAGGCAGTGACCACCAGTGCCGTCGTCTTCATGCTGAGGTGCCTCAGCTGCTTGTCCGTCAGCCTGTGCGTCACGACGGAGCAGAGGTACCCGCCTGCGCAGACAAGGGGCCACCTTGTCCCCTCTCCCACCCACGCCCTGAAGCTACTCCTTCTCCCTGCTTTTCTAACTGGAGAACTCCCAGTCATCTTTCAGAGCCCAGGTGGGGTATCGCCTCCTCCAAGGACCTCCTGGGAAGCCCTTTTTTGGTGCCCCCAGCCCACCTTGGACACCCTTTCTGGACCACCACGCTCCCTGTCTCAGAATCCTCCATTCACCAGATCCCCACTGGACTGACGTGGTCTGGGGCAGGGACATCTGGCTCAGCTCTGTATCTCAGGGCCAAGTCAGTCTGGCTCAGAATGAGGGAGAGTAAATGGTGAACAGACACCCTGACCCAGCGCTGGACCGCAGGTGGAGCTGGGCTGGCCCCCTTCGGAACAGCCCACGGCCCCAGATGCAGCAGGACATTCTGTGAAGGAGTGCGGCGGGACTAATTTGGTGCCTGGCCCAGAGCGGATAAGTGAGTTAAACGAACACTGTTGAGCAGTGCCTTGGAAAGCTCCCTGAGCCTGGAACCAGGATGCCTGGGCTGGAGGCCCTTCCACGCCCACACCATCCAAGCGCCCCTGGGCGAGTTGGCTTCCTTGTTGGCCTTATTTCCCTTGGTCAAGTGGGGATACCATCGCACCCCTCATGGGGCTGCATTACTGAATAAATAGGGCACGGGACCACCGAGTGCTTGGGCCCTGCACACAGTGTACCCACAGAATGCATCTCCTGTATCTCAGATAGCCGCCTCGGTGCGGAAGACGCTTTGGCGCTGCTGCCAGAGGGACGGAGAGGCAGAGTGAGCACGGGAGAGGAGAGCCTCCACCAGGGCCGTGGGAGCAGCAGACTGTGCTGAGGGGCCGGCATCATGCTGTTGCCAACTTATCCCAGTTAAGACTGGGCTGCATAGCCCGGGGTTTGCAGGTTTGGATCCCGGGTGCTCACTGACGCATTGCTTGTTAAGCCATGCTGTGGCGGCATCCCATATAAAGTAGAGGAAGATGGCAACGGTGACACACACACACACACACACACAGACACACACACACACACACACACACACACACACGGCTGCATAGTCTTAGAACCGAAAAAAGCCCCCAGTGCCCATCAACAAGCATCATAACAACACCGGCAGCTACCAGTGAGGACTCAGTATGAGGATGAGCGGGCACAGTGCTAAACAGGTCACAGGAATGACCCTACTGCACCCTCACGGCACCCTGTGAGGCCACCCCTCCTCTTAGAGAGAGCTGGGGATGCTTGGTGTCACCCGGCCAGGAGCCGTGGCGCCAGGCGGTCTCCAGCCCATGGCACCAGCCTTCAGTTCTGTGGCTCTGGGTACAGACACTCCAACACACTGTCTGACCCTTGACTATTTCATAGGATCCTCCACCCCTCTCTCCCCGGCTCCTCTCAGAGCCCTGTCATGCAACCAGAGCAAGCTTCCCCCTACCTCCCCCATTTCACGGAGGGAAGCAGCCTCAAGACCGTAGGCTCTGAGCTAGGAAGAGCAGAAGAAGGATCGAACCCAGATGTTCCGACTCTGCATCATGTCCTTTCTGCTGGGGGAGGTGGTTGTGAGAGTGGTGTGACCCAGCATGGAAACACCAACCCCTCCTGGGGCCGTACTGAACCACAGAGGCCCGACTGACGCGTCCATCCCAGGCTCCTGACACACCTCCCCTCCGGACAGACGGCTGTCCTGAGCCCAACGCACCGAAGGCCAGTCCTCCGTGCAAGTCAATTTCCACTTGCAACCCCCTGCAGACTCACCCAGAGCAGCATCAAACCCCGGTTCCACGGTGAAAACATCATGTGCCGGGAAGTCCAAGACGTCTGGCTTGAACTGGAGCTGGCAGCTGATGAGGGATTCTGGGTGCAGGGTCTCCATGACTTCCATCTGCACAGGGGAGCACTCACCTAGGGACAGAGAGGGGAGAGAGGGATGCGGGTCAGCCCTGCTGGCCACCACACCTAGGCCCAGCAAGACCTCTGCACCTGCCGGCAGAGCCCCAAAACGGGGGAGCAGGAGCAGGCTACACAGAGGCCGGCCGGGCCACGAAACGGCAGCTTCCACACAGGGCCCCCAGGGCTGCCCAGAGCTTCGTGATGGCGCCATGGTTTATAACAGCTGAGGACAAATTATGCACAGGAGGGGGTCACTGTGAACCGCGGGCGCTTTCAGATTGGAATCTCAGCACTTGCTCTGGAGCTCACATCAGGGGCACAGCAGATGGGGCGGCCACTAATGCACATCGTCTGTTCCCGCCAGCAGGGAAAAATGGGTGACTTATTTCTTGACGTCAGGAGGGTTAAGAGCTCCCCACCGATCTACTGAGCACCGCTCAGCAGCAACGCAGCGTCGCCCACTTGTCCTGAGGCGGGAAGAGAGCGGTCAGCGTGAAGCAGTAAAGCCGCCCTGCTCATCAGGCTGAGAACAGGGGTGCCAAACGCTACCAGTTAGGTGGTTTTTTTTAAAAAAAACAGCCTGTATTGATGTATTTCTCTGACAGCTGCTGTCCAGGGCTGTTGTGGGCAGAAGATGGGCTCGAATGTTCTATGCGTGACTTGGGAGAGGTAACTACAAAAATCAAAACCAGCGGCGAGGCTGTGAAGTCAACACTCGCTGGGATTAATGGGGGCAAACCATGGCTTGCCTTCCTCAGGGGCCCTGGGGTGGAAGTTGCATTTCCAGCTCAGAAACACACAATTTTTGGGTGCTGGGCTCGCTAGGAAGATTCCTTCCTAGGCCTCAGCTGGTGGAGGACCTGGAATTCTAAGAAGCCAGAAGGAGTGGGCTAGCTGGGGCCAAATGCACTCTGCAGAGTTGGCGTGAGTTTGAGCATGAAAAGCCGACACAACCACGCCCAGCAGGGCCCCTGCCAGACCACCGAGCCCTGTACCTCGCAGGTTAGAGCTCTGGTGTCCCACGGTGACCACCATGGTGGAGGCTGCCGCCTCCTGGAAGCTGGTGTGGACAGGGCAGACATGACGGGCCACAATCCTCTGAGGGACGCTGACCACTATCTGGGGAGGGAGCCAAGGCAACTCCACTGAGCGCCGACGGTGCACAGACCCCACGCTGGGCACTTTGCTGACTCGCCCTGTGGCCTGGGATGCAGTACTGCCCATTCCATAGGGGACAAAACGGAGGCTCACAGCCTAAACGACTTGCTGGACTGCGGCAGAGCTGACCCCAGGCTGCTCAGACTCTGCAGCCCAGTGCTCTCCCAGTGCTCTGCCCCTGAACAAGCGCCTCTCCCAGCAGGAGGGCAGGGAGCCGAACAGCAGGCCTGAATTCATTTCTCAGCCTGGGGTGGGCTGTGAATTCTGGCTCCTGTGGCAATGACGATCCTTTCTCTGCTCATCAATTTGGTTAACCAATCTTTCAGCAGAGAGAAGGATCCATTCTACTTGACTGTCATTTACGCACAATAAACGGGCCCGACCAAGACGCAAACCCTTCACAGCCGTGAAGGCCCCCAGGAGCCAGTCTTCCCAGACTTCTCCCTGCTCGTCCACCTGCCTACCCTGCAACCGGCAGCACCCAAACCCCTGGCCACACGCCCTCCTGAGGCAAGACCAGCTTTCTCAAGCTGGCAGAGCCCTTCACCCTCCTCTGCAGAGCGCAACCCCGTCTCTCCTGCAGGCCCAGCTCCGCGCCCAGCTCCGCGCCGCCGCCTCCAGCTGGCAGGCTGTTCACGCCTCTCCGGGCAGGCAGGCACTGAGCACTTCCCCCCTCCCCCAGGACTGATTCCCATCTATTCTATCTCTACATTTCTATCTGTTTCCAGAACGTCATCTCCTAGAGAGCAGGGATGAGGTCTCCCCCGGCCCCGAAGCCCCTGCAACTCCCAGGGCCTGACGGGGAGTCACAGGCAGGCCTGGAGGCTGGGCCCATCGACCTCCAGACTGACCTGTGGGCTCCTGCTGCCCAGGCGCCACCTCCTCCCAGCGGTCACTTGCTGTCCCCGAAGGCTGACCGAGGCTGCGTACTGCACGCCTGCACTAGTACTGCCCTCCGTCCCCCGGGCTCCCTTCTACTCCTGACTGCCGCTCTGCAGTCTTCTCCCGCTCCCTGCTCCTCCTCCTCCACACCCTGGAGAGAGGACCCGGCCCTTGACCCCACGCCCCTCTTGCCCTGGTATGCCCTGCATGTTCCCGCCCACTCCCAGGACTTCAAGAACCACCCCTGTGCTGTACACCCCCTCCTCCAACCCAGCTCTCTGCCCTGGACCTCCAGACACACCTGCCCAGCTGTGTCACCGCCAGCCTCTCCTGGAGGAGCTACAAGCACCTCAAACTCACTCAGCATCTCCCCCCGCACCGGCCCCCTCCTTCTGTGCTCCCCTCTCAGACCAAAGGACCAACATCCACACTGTCACCCAAGCCAGACCCCAGGTGTCATCCCAAGGCCTCCTCCCTCAGCCCCACTTCTAAATGGGCACCAGACTCTGATGACCCTCCCTCTGGAATCTCGCAAACCCACCCTCAGTTTCTGCCCACCCAGCAGTGCCAGCCGAGGGCCCATCCTCGGCCCCCTGGCTGGTCTCCCTGCCGCTACTCCCCTCTCTCGGGCTCTTAGACTCCACCAGGCCCCGGACGATCTTTCCAAAACATATCTCTGATCTACATCACTCTTGGCTTAAAAAAAGTCCCTGATGAAACCCTACCGCATCTTGCACCAGCTTCAGCCCCTCCGCCCTGGCAGACTCACAGGAGCAGCTAATATCTCCTGAGCTCTGGCTACATGCTGGGTACCACTCTGAATACCTCGCACATGTTGACTCATTTAATCCTCAAAACAATATTAACCCCATTTTACGGACAAGAAAATTGAGGCACAGAGAGGTTAAGTAACTTACCCAAAGTCACATAGCCTCTCAGCAACCCAGCTGAGATTTGAACCCGGAGCCCACATGCTTAACCACTCCACGAACCTACCTGGAATCCAAGTGTTTCCTATCTGATCGTAAAGCCTGCCTCTGCTGCCCCCACACCCTACGTTCCAGCCCCCAGGGCTCGGCTCCTGAACCATACACACCTTGGCCCATGCCCTGCTCTCCTCTGCCGGCGCCCCACCCCCAGGCCTGCCCCGGCCACTCTCGGCAGCTATGTCCGGGAAAGCACAGCTTGTTAGCACAAGGTGCCTCTACCTGCAGCCGGCTCACCCAGACCGCCGTCTCAGCACTAACCACGCGAGCACTTAGGTTCAACTGCTGGATTCCACAGAGCGCACGCTGGCTCTAAGAATGAGACACATCTGGGCCGCAGCCAGACTCTGCTCATTGATTCATTCTCAGCTGGAGATAAACAGGAGAGAGCCGTTTGGTTCGCCTCCAGAAAAACTCCAAAGATGACTTGCCGGGGGCGTTTAACTTTGTCGGTGACGCCCATCGCTGCCTGGCCTGCCCACCCGGACACTCCTGCCCTTCCGGGTTTGGCGGCAAGAGTGGAGCTCGGGGGAGCTGGGATTGACCCTAGGAGACCACCTCTTGTCATCACGCTATTTTGTACATTGGGAGACGGGGCCTAGGGAGAGGAGGGAAAGGGTCCCGATCTCAGAGGCAGTGGGTGCAGACCCCAGACTCATGACTCCCAGACCCCAACTGCCCTGTGAGGTGCTGGTGCTTCTTCCTAAAGGGAAGGGAATCACTCAGTATTGAGAACTGCAAGTTTCACCCCGAGAAGGTCAGCCACGCCCCCCGGGCCACTGAGCCACGTGTGTCCTGAAGCCCCACCTCCTTGTAGGTCCTCAGGTGCCCAGCGACCTCGTAGTAAACCGTCACGGATCCTGCATCCCGGGCCACGGCCACGCCCGTCTTGGGGTCGACGTGGAGGATGCTGTTGGCTGAGGAGCTCCAGGTTCCGGGGAGGCCTGGGACAGGAAGCCCTGATGTCACCCGTCTTTCCCATGTCGCACACTCCAGCCAAACCCCGTCTCACCTGATGATGGTGTCAGCCTCCCCGTGCCCACTCCCACGCCCCACATCGCTGTCTGGGGAGCTCACTCATCACCCCCAGGAGAGAATGCACACTGCCCGCCTCTGCAGCCTGGTGCTGGCCACACCCCCGCTCCTGGCTGTGCCACCTGGAGCCACCTGCAGTTCTCCTGCGGCACCTGCCCTCTGCACGGCTGTGGCCTGTCCAGAACCCCTGGTCCCTCCCACCTCCAGTGCTCCCTGCTTGGAATCTCCTGATCATTCCCCTGTCCTGGGATGACCTGGGTGCTGGCCCCACCAACAGAGCACCAACCCCCTGATGGTTTAACCATCCCTTTTTAGCAAACAAAGCTGGTGTCAGGCTCAGAGCTGTCGTAAAAGCCAATCACATTATATAACAAATAGCATAAAAGAACTCAACAACCACATTCTATTCATGGAAAGTTATAGTTGCTTTTCTTTAAAGGCAGTGTTTAACTTCCTTTTAAAATGAATTTAATTAGGTAAAAAAAATAAGGAGCCAACCGAAAACAGAAATTAAGTGAATAATTGTACCTGTAGTCGCTGGATGTACGTACAGGTGGCACGGGAATGACTGAAATTTGGAAGTCACTGAACTGGCCCAGGAGCTATTCTTTGCTTGAGTTTCCTTCTAGAGGCATGCCGTCCAACAGGGTGCCACTAGCCACCAAATTAACTAAAACGAACCTTCAGTTCCCCTGCTGCACTAGCCACATTTCAAGTGTTCAGTCACAAGCGGTTACTGTGTCAGTGCAGACACAGCACGTTTCCACAACGGCAGACAGCGCTATTCTAGAGCAGGGTCGGCACACTTGCTCTGTACAGGGCCAGACGGTAAACATTCTGGGCCGTGCGGCCCCAAAGGTCTCTGACGCCGCCACTCACCCTGGCAGCTGTAGGAGGAAAAGAGCCACTGACGACACACAGATGAACAGGTGAGGCTGAGCTCCAAGCAAATCTAATTTGCAAGCGGAGGCAGCAGGCTGGGTCTGGCCCTTGAGCAGCCGTTTCCTGACTCCTGCTCTACAACAGCCTCCGCGTTCTACTTGCACACCTCCACGACGGGGCGCTGAGCACCTCCCCGGAGCCCACTCCCGTCTTGGAGCGCTCACCGTGTGCCCCTCCAAGCACCGACAGCTTAGACCCGGAAGGGCCCCACAGCCAGGACCTCTCTTACCTTCCAGGCTGACCAGGACACTGGCCAGACAGAGGTCGTCGCCCACCACGACCGCTCGGGACAGTTCCCGGGAGAGGGCCTGCAGGATGGGCAACGGGACGAAGTCGGAGAGGCCCACGTGCTCCGTGTCCCACACGCTGAGCAGCGTCAGGCCCACGCTGACGGTGCGGACGACGCAGGTGTTGTTGGCGGCGCCCTTCCCGATTTGCACAAACTCATCTCTAGGCACAGGAGGGAGATGCGGGCTCTCAGTCTCGGGCAAGAGCTCCCAGCTCTGGAGGGAGAAATGCAGCGTGAGTCCTCTGCTGGGCGACGCTTTTCACCGACTGTGGCCCCAGATGTCACTCCAGCTCCCGTTTACTGAGCAGCTGCTCCAGATAAGGGACCACCACAGGCCGCACAGACCCCACGCATCTCGTCACCCTGGGAGGAACCCACGGCCCTCAGTGGGGAATGGTCCCAGCGGGGGACCCCCATACTACAGCAGGGAAAACTGAGGCCCAGAGAGGAAAGCGATCTACAAAGTGCTCTCCAGTCCTTCCCAGCAGGAGCTAGGACATTCCGGGGAGGCACAGCTGCTCTCTGGGGCACAACCTGAGTGAGTCACAGAGCCTCCGCCCACTCCCTCGCTGTGCAGCGCGGAGAAGCGTCACAGCGGGCCGTGAGCGTCACACTGGGTCGGCCCGTGGAAGTGCTTGGACGGGCACCCAGCACACAGTGAGGCTCAGTCCACATGGGCCAGTGTCGTCCGGTGGGAAGGCTGGGACGGGGGTGGGGGGCGGGGTGAGGGCTGGGGTCTCCGGCTTCATCACTTCCCTCCGCCATGCCTTCTGACTCCTGAGCCCTGACTGTCCCTTGGAGAGAGATGCTTCCACACAAAAGGCCGGCGCGACTTCTGCAGGGTAGCTGAGAGGCTGGGACAGTCTGGCCCCATTTCCTCCAGGGCAGCCTACATCCCAGACTGACAGACAGCCCGTGTTGTGCGCACAGGGCTCCAGTTTGCCAGAGGCCCTCCGACCATGGCCTCAGTTGATGGCCCTGGGGCGAGGCCACATTCCCCGTGGGATGGGTGTGGAGACCAGGGGCCTGGGGAGGTGACCCGCCTTCCCACGCTCACAGCCCCACAAAGGGCAGAGCTGGGGCTCAAACCAGGTCCACCTCCAAATCCTGGTTCCTCCCCACGGCCTACCCCCAACGCCTGGCCCCGGTGTGTTCAGCAGCAGGGGACACATCTACTACAAGGCCCATGGGGAGGCCAAGTTGCAATGGTCACCAGCACTGGACACAACCTTCTGCCCTTGGGAGGACTCTCTGGAGCCTCTCCCCAAGCCCTCCCCCTCCCTCCCGGTCTGAGACTTTCCCCTCCTCCTCTGAGCTCACTCTGCAGGCCCCTCAGAATCACCTGCAGGCCTTGTTGTAACACAGACTGTCGGGTCCTGTGAAGGTGCCTTTCCAAGAGTTCCCAGGTGGTGATGATGCCAGCCTGGGGACCGCACTTTGAGAACCACTGCTCCAGCAGACTCAGAAGTTGCAGCAGGCCCAGACTGAGGCCACGGCTCTTTCCCTCGCTCTAGAGACCACCCTCCAACCCCCCACATTAGGCCTGAGGCTGCAGTTGTATTTCAAAAGAGTCAGTCAAAAAGAACTGCACTTGGAGCCAGATGGGACCTGGTGTTCAAACCCCACTTCCTCGCTGTGTGGCCCTTGACCTCTCTGGGCCTCTACAAATGGGCTACAGTGAAGAGTCAGCAAGACGCCATGCAGAAGGGCCTGCACACAGCAGAGGCTCAGTGAACGTTGGACTCCCTCCTCACTAGCGCCCAAGCATTGGAAAGTGTGTGCCTGTCTGATCAACTTGGTAGAGTATGTGTGTCATTGATGATTTGCATTACTGATCACAGGGCCAGACCAACAGCCAGGGTTGTTTATAACATCTTCTCTGCAGCCCAGCTTTCACAGGTGTACAAGAATCTTATTACAAATCCTCCAACCGCAAATCCCAACATCTGTGTTTCGCTTCCTGCCCCTTGGGGGACGTTCCCACTGATGAACTTCCTGCTGTGAAGTAACAGATTCTCAGCTATGCTTTCCCTCGCTCCCGCCTCCAGACCAAGCCTGGAGCCTCCCCTGTGGCCCTACGAGTGTGGCACACGCCTTCCTTCTGGAAACGGAAAGGAAACAAAACTCTTCTTTCAATGGCATCAGGCTCTGTGTCATCATCACCACCTCCAGAAATTAAACCTGGGTACAACCGAGACACACCCTCGGCGAGAAATGGGCATTACGCACACCCTACCTGTTGGCTGCAAAGTTGAGGACTGAATTGTGAGCGTGGAAGATGTCGCCAGAGTTGTCGTGGAAGTGGACAGTGAAGGTCACGGTCATTCCCAGAGGCAGCGCTGCCAGCGCCTCCTTGTTCTGGGTGTGCAGGGTGGGGCTCATGGAGATCCTCAGGTAAGAGATGGGAGACACCTACCGGACAATGAGCAGGTATGGTGACGACTGTGCCAGGAACCGGCCTCCCTGAAAGCCCCTCCTGTCACTGACTGGGTGACTGGAGAAACTCAAAGGTGGGTTTGGAAGCCATTAACTGTTTTCCCAAGTTGTTTCTTTTTCTTTTGCATGTTAAGGAGATGTAACCACCAGCAATCATGAAACTGCCGAAGTGAGCTGCTCAAGGGAGGTGTCACCACCAGCTATCCTGAAACTGACCAAGCCTCACCACAAGAGCTATGTCCATGACCTTTGCCTTATTTTTACCACAAAGATCTCTGCAGGAGGAGCTTAGGCCTTATTATGCGGGAGCATGTTCTCCAATTGAGCCTATGCAAGCAAATATCTGCCTCTCTCTTTTGAATATTCATTCCTCAACGGAAATCAAAGTTCCTGCTTCCCTTTCTTTGGGGACACCATGACTTTGGAAATGATTCCTCACGGCTTCCTGTTTACTGCAAATACACTTTACTTCGTGAGACAACTTCCACTGGTGTAGAGTCTTATTTAACTCAGCAGGAGGCGAGCCCACTTGGTTCGGTAACACTCCAGGGAGGAGACACTTGCCCTGGCCGGTCCCCATCTCAGGAAGGACTGAGATGGACCGACCTAGAGTCACAGAAAGAGGAAAGGCCTCACTCCCCAGAGCAGTGTAAGCTCATGATAAGGTTCCCACCCCCCCTACACAGCGAGCCCACCCAACCCACAAGAATCCAAACCCACAACTCTGAAAAATTAGATCGTTATTCATGTTGCAAAAATATCCCCTAGGCTTGACCAGTCAGATTCGTTAGTGGACCTGGCTCTCCGGGCATTTAAAGCAGAAATAATGTCGTGGATCGCAGAGGCAGCCCAACTGGGAGACATTGCATGCCTGCAGGTGCTCCAGGAAAAGGAGAGATGGGAAAGGGAGGGAACGATGGGTTTCTGGAGCCCACGAACCCAAGCTCCATAAAGATCAACCTTAGTTCTCTGACTCCAGGTAAAATCTATTCTGGCCAAAAAGCTGGCCCCCAAATTCAGTGGTGCAGTGACGGGGACACAGCTGGTGCTGCTCAGTATAAACAGGACGAGCCCGCACTTGCACACACTCAAAAACTAGGGTGGAGGGTTCCCTGCCAGCTACCCACCGTGAAACAGACAGACACTGATTAAGGTAACACGCCTGCGAGCCAGGCAAAATCTAAACATGAAAGTGGTCATCTATCTTGTTATTAGGATTCAGAAAGTGGCTATGATGAGCTAGGGAAAGAAAATTCTGACTAAGATAAACCCCAGGACCCAAGCCAAGGATGCCCAAGGAGAAAGTTTCCATCACTAAAGAGCACAGGACGGCAGAGGGAGCCGGGAAGCACTGTGATGTGGCCCGAGGACACCAACCCCAGCCGGGCCAGCACGGCTGAGGGCCCAGACTCGGCTCAATCATGGGCGAGCTCGCGCACATCACTCCCACTCGGAGGCCACTTCCTTGCCTGTAAAACGGGTCCGCTAGCTCTCCAGGCTGCCATGTACGTGATGAACTGACCTCTGGGTCAGGTGTCTAGCACACGCCTCCACTGCTTTTAGGCGCCTGCCTTGTTCCAGGCACCGGCTGGCCGGTCAGACCCTGGGGGCCCGTTTCAGCAATCACAGACCTCGCTGGGCCTCAACTTCCCCGTCTCCGAAACGAGGTCGTCACAATCAGTCATCTCCAGGATCTGAGCTCTGACAGCCAGAAGACGACGTGGCTCTTCACCTAGGTCCTCTGCCCCCGAGTTATTCTTAAGTAAGTTCTGACACACAATTTCTCAGCTGGAAGGTATATATGTTCACTTTTACACCCATGAAGGGAAAATATTACCTCAGCACTATTGATTTCATTACTCTAAAAAGCAGGGAAACTATGATCCTACCTTTACAGCAATGGTGATGGTTTGGTTGGCCCCGAAAGGCTCTTGGGCAGTCACTTCGACTGTGGACCTCCCGATCACAGACCCCGACGCAAGGAAGCCTTTCTTGTCAATGTGCGCGAGGAGAACCTTCTCGGGCCCATCCAGGACACGGTAGCTCAGAGATGCTGCGCCGTCCCTTTGGAAAACAAAACAGACCCGTTCTGACAGACAGTGGCAGCAGAAGTGGCTCACAGCACGGGGCCCGGGGTTCCCAACTGCTCCTAGGAGAAGAAAAGACCCAATCGTGGCCCCGCTGTGCATCAGGACCACGTGCTGGCACCCCATCTGCAGACTCGTCCGTCACCAACAGGAACCTAATTTGGAAAACCGATGGTTCCCAGGAGCATCACTTCCTGCTCTCGGGAGCAGCGCGCACCACAGGTGGTCAGCGGGAGAGCGGAGTTTCATGGGACATTTGCCGGAGGAGATCGTTTCTGAGGCAAATTGTTTTCAGCTTACTAGATAAGGCAGCCTGGCGTGGTGGAAAGAGGCGGAGCTTTGAGGGAGACAGAACCCGAAGGCAGTCCCAGGGCCCCTGAACAGCCGTGTGCCTGCAGGCATATGGCGTCCCCTCTCAGCCTCGGCTTCCTCAACTGTGAAAATAGAGCAATCTATTTCCAAGGGCTGGCAACAAGGTAAAAATGGGCAAGTTGCTCAGAAAGTGGTTTGCAAAACTGCTGATAATGTGCACTGGGTAGAAGACAAATTATTCCATATTTTAGGCTCTTCTACATATTCATTAATATAATATACAGGAAGGAAAGGCATCTAGCTCCCAGGGCTAGCCCCCTCTCACCTCTCTTTTTGCACCCCAGCCCCAGAGACCCTCCTCAGGTGACTTTAAGCAAATATCACTGCCTCTGCCATAACTTTCTCCCCCTCATCTTAACCTGCAGAACTCCTATGCATCCTTCAAGACCTAGGTCAAGCATCTGCATCCGTGACATGCCTCCCCCAAATCCTCGTATGGAAGGCCCTTCCTTGGACTATAGCTTGAACATTACACCTCGTTTCATTGTAGGCCTTCTCACACTGAACTCCCGTCTTCCCACCAGCTATCATCCCTCTCTGCTCCGGAGCCTAACACAAAGCCTGGTGTTTAGACGCTTTTGGCTGAACAAACACCACGTGTGTGTGTCATGAACACGTCAGTGCTCCTATGGTCCTTACAGTCCCCCACTTGGCAGCTGCAGTTCACACGCAAGTCACTGGCATCAAAGGCGTCCCCTCTGAATCAGAGGTAGGGTGATGTTTGCAGACACGCTTTAAAACTGCGCTTCCCAGACGTGAGCATGCAGCCCCGTCGCCCGGAGATCTTGTGACCACGCAGATCCTCACTCTGCAGGTCTGGGGTGGGGCCCGAGATGTGCATTTCAACATGTTCCCGGGTGACGCCCACGCTGCTGCTGCTCCACGGACTGCGCTTTGAGTGGCAAGTCTTGAAGACACAGGGGGTCTGAAAATCTAACACTTTCAAATCGGTCCTTTTCCCCCTTTGAAGGACCAGATTTCAGCAGCAGGCATTAAAAGGCTCCTAGGCTCCAGGGAAGAGAAGAGGGACCCCCGGGGAGAAGTGATGTAGAAGGGCAGGGGAAGTCCACGACGAAGAGAAGGAGGAAAGCAGAAGCTGCCCGTTTCAAACACAACAGCGAGAAAGATGCACAGTTGGCTGGAAGCATCCTCGGCTGTCGACAACCCAAAGGAGTCGTCGGACGTGAGCGCAGCATGGCCGTCTTGCTGACAGCAAGCGCTGAGTCACGCACCTGTTTGTCTGAAACTTTATACAGGAGTTGGGCGACATTAGTATTTGCTCTGCTTCTATTTCAGGGTTCAGCAGCAGTGCTCTTCATATACCTGGAATAGAGGGCACATCTCATTTCCTGCGATAGACTGGAATCTTGTCCAGGATTCTGCATCTCTCCCCGCAGGGAGAGCCCAGGGGGCCCAGGGATGAGACACGCTCTTGCAAGCACCTGTCAGGTGGCTGGTGACGTGACGGTGAGGGCTGACCTTTAGGAGAGACCAAGGGCATGATGAGGAAAAGCAGGCAGGCGAGCATGTGCCCTGGTGGCAGCTGCCTCCCGGAGCCGGAAGCAGGGGCCTCTCTCCCAGTTCCCGGGGAGAAAACTTGGTTTGCTGGGACGTGTATGCGGAAGCCAGCATGTGGAATTACAGGGCCCAGGGTCTGCTCGGCAGTAACTCTGCCAGGACGGAGCCTGGAGCAAGTTCCATCTAAAGACTCCTTTCTTTCAGCAAGACAGCCTACTCCTCATGGTGACCGTCTCAGAACAAGCTGCATTCCACCGCTTGGCCCTTAGCTTGCTCCCCTGTCCTGCCACGCTCTCGCAGGATCTGCAGAGAGCGCGTGTGGGGCCTCGGTGAACTCAGGCCAGCAGATGATAAACCTGATAATGTCGGATGGAATCTGATCCTGTCACTCCCCAGGGCCCCCGAGGCCCTGGATGGCTCCAGAGCCCCCGGCAGCAGCACCTACCCCAGAACTCCAGACCCCTCTCTGCACACATCCTCATGCGCCCGACACCCTTCTAAGGCCCCTTCTCTGAGGACCCTCGAGCCTGGATGCCGAGCACTGCTTTGAGCTCCCCCCGGCTTCTGATCTGATCAGACCAGCTGCATTCTCCTAAGGGCCTGTGTCTGAGATCATCTGAACTGACAGGTGATCTTCCAAGAGGAAACCGGCCTGACTCCCCACCTCCCAGCACTGCTGTGTTCTGAGCATATGCTTAAACCTAGATTTCCTCGTCTGTAAAATGGGTCTAAAACGAATAATCCTTGCCATGTCTGCTCGAAGAGCTGTGGGACGTGTGTGACACACTGAGTGCAGCATTTCCTAAACGGTGACTGACAAATGGCCCTGGGAGCTGGATGGGGTTCTGTGTCGGGCGAGTCCTTCAGCCAGGCAGACGGTGTCCAGAGTGACGCAGCCTCGTTAACTTCACCTTGGACACATAGACTGCGCAGGAAATGCATGTACAAATACGTTCCCTCCTATTTTTTCTAAGGAAACAGGTATTCTCTGTCGTCCCTCTTTAGATGGAGGTGAAAGTACAAGAGATATCTCCCTCTCTGTTAACTGTCAGAAAAGCAACAGCACAAGCATCATGGTAAACGGCAACTGATCTTCAGCCTGTCAGAGAGACAGCAGGGAGCGGTGGGGCCTGTGGCCAACGGGAGAGAACAGCTCTGTCAAGGGGAGGCTGCTTCCCATCTCCTGCTGACTTTGCCATGTGGCAAAACGCCATGTCTTCAGGACAAGTAGCATATTGGATTTTTATACAAAATCATCCTATTTTTAAACGTTGGCAACAAATAAAAGCTGTTTCGAAGCACTGAGACCAAATACGTCTCTGGGCCAGATCCAGCTTCTCTAAGTTTCTAATGTACTCAAACTCCTTCTTCTGTCAGCTAGGGAAACTGAGGCACAGAGCTGTTAAGTGACCCAACTGGGGCCACAGAATTTGGAAGTGCAAAGCCCTGTCTTTAATTCCATGCGAGGTGCCAGAACTTAATTTTACTTTTAGCCAGGAAGAGGATTTCCGTATGTGTTTACGTGTCTGTGTGTGTTTGTGTGTGTATGTGTGTGCACGTGCAGGCAGGGGTGAGGAGCTTGGTAAACAGGCATTTCTTTCTCTGAAAATCTGCTTCTTTCCCTGATTGGGCATGTGCCTGCATTAGAAATGGTTTATTTTTTCTTGAAGAGGGCGCTGGAACCTGTTTCTTTTCTCATATTTCTCACTCTCAGTTTTTCTTTGCAATTTAGGGGTCCCGGGGGTTCCTAAGTCCCAGACTAGCAGATTGGGGCCCTTGAAGCTAGAAATGTTCTTCAGAGGCAACCTGTCCCCTCCCGGTTTTACAGAGGGGTCCAGGGGGCGGGGGAAGTAGGAGGGAGGCTGGAGAGAGACGGGGGGCCAAGCCCTGAGCCGGAGAAGGACGCTGGGCTCTGGGACCTGACTCAGCCTCCCTGCACCCTCTGGGGCTCTGCACAGGCCAGCTCCCTCTCTGAGGCTCGGTTTCCATCTGTCAACCAACGGGCTGCCCACACGGCACAGCCCTCAAGGCCTTTCGGGGCCCCCTGCCCACTTGCTGGAACCTGGCGAGGGCTGCTCCGCCCCCTGGGGCCGCAGGCTCATCGTCAAGCAGCGGCACCCGCAGCTCCTGCCCCGCAGGCTTCACGGGAGCCCTGGGTGAGCGGCACTGGGCAGTGGGAAAGCACGGCTGCCTCTGGCAAGCGCTCTGTGTTTGTGAAATAAATACAGTTAAATGCATGCCCAGCTCACACGATTTTCCAGCCTCTTCCTCTCGAGAAGGCACCCCAGATGCCAAGCTCAGAACTGTTTGCTATTTTTGGAACATGTCAAGCTATTCTGTCAAGCTATTTTGGACCTCCAGGACTCTGCACGTGCCATTCCCTCCTCTGGGCCTGCTGGCCGACCCCGCCCATCCTGCAACGTCACTCCTCCGTGGAGCCCGTCAGCCCGCCTGTGAGCCCCCAGAGCACCTCATCTACCCCCGACCCCAGACCCCTGCAGAAAGAGCACTCCTCGGGGGCAGGGCCCCCAGCCCTGCGCCCACCCGCAGTGTGCCCACACGGCCCCTGGGAGGAGGAGACGGGCTGCGGGGTCGGCACTTACCCTCCCTCTAAGGGTGGCTTCTGCACACCTGTCCTTTACCTGGATTTGGATCTCATCAGAGAGTTCTCTGGTGAGGCCATGCAGCTGCCCAGCTGTGGGGTCCAGGGCCTTGACCACCACTCTCAGCCCGGTCCGGCCTTTCACCCGGCTGTGCACGTTCATGGCAAAGTTGTACCGTGACGGGAGCCGGAGCGATGCCTGGGACAGACAAACACATCTTCAGGGAGAGCCCCAGGGCCCCAGCACCCTCCAAAGGGCAGACCGCGAAGGAGCCCCAGATTCCCTGACAGCTGCCTGCCTGATCTCAGAGGCTGCTGCCTTCCTGCACTGCTCAGGGCCTGCTAACCCCGGGGCGGCAGCCCACAGTCGGCCCAGCACCAGCGCAGCATGCCCCAGCTCAGTTTCACCACGTTCACAGGTGCACGTGGAAGAGGCTGGGCCACCCCACACAAGCCAGCGTCCTACGGCAGGACCTCTTAGAGCCTTTAGCGTGCAGGGGTGGGTTATGAATCACTAAGAGGGACGCCAGGCTTGGTGGTGCTCCCCCAGAGAGCCCCCCTAGTATAGAGCGTCTGTGAATAGGTCACACTACCCAGGTACCACGCGAGCAGTCTGGGGATGCCCCCAGCACTGGGGACAGGACCCTGGCCCCACCAGGTAGGCAGGCAGACATTCGTCCCACACTAGAGGAGCTTCAGGCAGCCTCTAGGAAACCCCACGCCCATGCCTGGCGCCCTCCCCAGCGCCCCCCCACAGTCCATGGATAAGGCAAGAAGAACCCTCCCAGCACCACCCCCACCCGGGTCCCGTGTGACTTGGGGTTGCAGCCTGGAGTCCCCAGGGCTGGCGCCAGTCCTGTTTCCCCACTGGCTCGCTGGGCGGCCGGGGGATCCCCTTCCCATGGATAGGCTCAGTTACCAATGGAGGGTTAGTCGGTTCTCTCTACCACATTCCACCTCTGAGATCTGAGGAAGGGTTAGGTCCTACCAATGCAGAGCTAAGTGGAGGAGAAGCGGCCTGTGGGATAAACCTGGAAAAAACCCCCTAGCTGCCGGGCATCATCTCAGAAAGGGGTCAGAAGCTAGAGACCAGGGACCCTGACCAAGACCCTATGACATTCTGGCACTTCCATGACTTCCCTGCAAGGCCGTCATTTTGCTGCCTTCTGTTAGGAGGGTTACCCACTGAGGGCCTCTGTAATGGTCAGCAAGAACGTGCTGGAAATGAAAAGGGCTGCGGACAGGCCTGGGTACTGCAAGAGAGATCGCTGGGAGCCCATGTTCCTGGACCCTAGCAAGTGTGAGAGTCAAGGAAGGACACTGGGGTAGGGAGAACGTGGCGGCAACATTTGGGAGAAAGAGTCCCGACGAGCCTTGAGAAGGGCAGCGAGGGACCAGGACCCGCGTGGGCGTGAAGGTGCAGACCTTGTGTGCAGAGATGCTGGCCTGGGATGGAGGGTGGCGCTCGGGGTGGGTGGTTACCTCATGGTGCCACCCCCGGATGTCCACGATGTCCCGCATGGTGACCGACCAGTGGAAGGTCAGGCCTGGCACGGCACTACCAAAGGAAAAAGGTTCTGGTTGTTGGCGATCCCGGTGATATAAACCGGCATCTGTAAGAGAGAGGCCAGGCCCCGTGACCACCAGGGTCCCACCGCCGGGAGGGCCCCAAAGCCCGGGGGCACCGCCCGCACGGCCTCTCCACTGCCCGGCACTTTCCTGTCTCCTTCATGCAAGGGGAGCCGCACCAAGTTCTTCCCTAACCAGAGACGGACTCAGCACAGGTCCGATGAAAGAGCAAATGATCAAACCCAAGATGAATGAGCCCCTCCTCACCCTGTCCTTTCTGGGCCAAGAGCCCCACTCCTGAAGTGACCCCCGGAGCTCTCAGACGCCTGCAGCCCCGGCAGCACAGCTCGCCCTGCCCCGCAGCCTCTGCTCCGCTCCTCTCTCTCCAGCTAGCAGGGGGTCCCCGCTCACGTGGGATGGGCATGGGTGGGACTCACGGTCTCCCTCCCCACGCTGACCCAGAGCCTACCAGACGGCACGGGGAGGCGACGCAGCCCAAGGGCAGACAGACTCGGAGCCTGGCCGCCTGCATCGACTCCTGGTTCCGTCGCTGACAGCGGCGTAGCCGGGGCAGCCGCCTCAAGCTTTCTCATGCTCCCTTCCCCGCCCGTGACACGGAAACGGCACCGGCAGCTACCTCACGGGGTGGGTAAGAACAGTGAGTGAACCAATGCACAGAAAGCTCTCGGCAGGGGCACGCCACACGAACGCCAGCTCCTGTCACGTGCCGGTGCCGCCTCAGGCACGGGGAGACGGAGGCATCGCTCTGGACGGCCCCCCAGAGCAGGTGAGGAGACAGGCACGAAGCGAAACAGGGTCTTCGTGCTGTGAGAGGTGCCGCGTCCTGCAGCAGGAACCGCGAGGCAGGGCCCTTTGGGCAGTGAAACGGAGCCCACAGGTCCCCAGGGTGAGCAAGTGAAAGACATGGAGAAGGCACAGTGTCCCAGCAGGGGCTCCCCCAAGCTCTTCCGGACCCAGAACCCAGAGCCCCAGACCCGGCAAGAGGCTGCTCAGATAGCACAGACAGGAGGGGCTGGAGAGGTCCCCGCCTCACCTGGGTCCCCGTCCTCATCCGAGTGATGGGGGCGCGGATCCTCACCGCCTGGAGAAGCAGCACCTCCACCTCCAAGAGATCCTAGGAAAAGGGCTCTGGGGCTCAGGCTGGCCGGGGTAGGGGCGGTGTGCGAGGGGCGGTGTTTCGGGAGGAGACCCGTCAAGGAAGGGGCTCCTGCCAAGGCCAGCTCAGGGTCACGTAGCTAGAAGGCACCCACAGGGTGTCCAGCATGATGCTTCTCTGCCTGAGGCTGCCTGCTTTGTGGGTGGCTCACCCCACACAGATCTGGCCACTGCCCTCCCACCCCCTTGGGGGGGGTCCCAGCCTGGTCTTCTGAGCCGATAGACCTGTCTGATCCAGATGCTCCAGGCGAGCGCTGCAGAGACTTGGGGGCAGTGACTGGGGACTGTTCTCTAGGCTGGGTAGCCCTCACAGGACAGGTCTCCAGACCCTCCCAACCCCAAATCCAGCTTGTCGATCTCTCTAACTGAGCAGAGTACAGGGATGAATGCAGGAGGCAGGCAGAGTATGATTAAAGCAGACCTTATACTCTCCTTCATTCTGAACTCTGTATTCCTATTAATCTGGCCAAAGGCTAACTTGATTGGCTTACTCATAGTACTCTTGAATCATGCTGAATCCAGGCTACTAGACTCTTTTTACATGTGCTCATGCTGAGCCCAATTCCTGTGCTTTGTGATCTGGGCTAACACCTAGCAACGAGTAGGCTCAATAAACACTCATTCCCTTCCTTCCCTTCATCCTTCGCACTGCTCAGTCTCCTCCTGCCAGTCCTGGCCCCTCCCTCAGCCTTGGGTGCTGATTCTTGGACAGATGGAACTAGAAGCTTCTGACCAGAATCACATATCCTCGTGGACACGCGGGCTTCAGGCTGAGCCCCTGCCTACCTGGGCTCAAGGAGACGCCTTTCAGATGGAGCTGGTGGCACAGCCTCTCCATCTGCCAAGGGGCACCAGGACCTTCCCCCAGCTCCCCTCCCGACCTGCCAGACGGGGCTGCAGAGAGGGAGGTGGCCCGCAAGGGCAGACCTCAGAGAGGAGTGCTGGCCAGGGGGAAATGCACAGCTGGGGGCCCCTCTAGCTGAATCTCCAGCCAGCTGCTGTTTCAGCCACCCTGGCCCCCAGGAGAAGAAAAAGGAACCAGTTCCTAAGGCCACAACCCCTTCTCTAAAGAGAGAAAATGCAGGGCCTCCATGCTCCTTCGTCTTACTCTCCAGGACGTCTGTCTGAACCCTGCTGTTCGCCACAGGACAGACTTTCATTCCAATGCCTTCTTGTCTTTATAAAATCGATAGGCAGAACCAGGGCATCCACCCCGTGATGCAGAAGGGCTCCGTGTTTTAACTGGGGTACAAGGAGAGACACTGAAACTGCGGGAAAGGGAGTAAGTCAATGAGCTCAACGTCGGATCACAGGCAGCCTCGGGGAACGAGGACGCCTTAGCCTCCCCTTCTCCTGGGCGGCACCCACGCCAGCCCCCTGGGTGCTGTGTTTAGATGAGTCAAACTCAGGGGGCTCACGGACTGCTTTCAGGGGGCCCAACTCCCAGCAAGGAAAGGGATGACTGGCATCTGAAAAGGTTCTTGTCCACAGTCGTGTCACACAAAACAAACGCTGTTCCTAGAGCCCAGGTTTCCGGCCCCACAAAGCAGCCCCCCTGATGCAAGTCACCACAGGCAAAGGATGTCAGGAGAATCCCAGCACCCTGAGCCCTTCTCAGGAGGCGGAAACCATCTCCATCTCCATTCTAGAGGCCCAAAGACGTACCCACACCTGGGAAGGAAGGGAAACCATCAGACTCGGAGACACTAACTCTCACCTGCTCAGAGTCAGTGCCACCAACGGGGGGCAGGAAGGCCCTCCTGGGGAGAGGACTCCCCTAACTCAGCCTTCTAGCATCTCTGCTGACCCACAAAAGCAATTACTGAGTATCCCTCCCTGGGGAGAAGGGGCTTGGGAAAGAATTGCACCTCCAGTGGAGCAAAAGATAGTAGTGGATGACCCAGGTTTGCTTTTTCTCCTGGAAATACAAATCCAGGTCTGAAACACTATTGGTGTTCAACTATCCACACTTACAGCAGCCAAGCCAGCACATGCCTCTGAAAACACACACTGCAATCCACCAAGTGTGTCAGAGCCAACAGCATCCCTCCTCTTCCATTAGAACATCCCCAGGCTCTGCCAGAAATGAACGGACAAAAGGCTGAGAGCTCTGACGTCAGCCGTTCCAGATCAAGTCCTGGAACCGCTATGCAGCGACCGTGGGCCACCAGCTGGCTCCTTAGGCCCCTTATCTGCAAACAGAGAAAGCAGCAAAATGCACGAGGATGCTGAGGACTAGAGGAGGCGAGTGCAGAGTCCACTATCACAACCACTGCCACTATCATGCACTGGATGTCCCCCAGGGCGGGGGCTTGGAAACTTGTCCCTTAAGGAGCAGCTGGGGAGACTCAGTCTGGAGAAAAGGAGCCTTGGGGGTCTGGGTGCCCCCAGCTGGCAGGGCCATCCCAGGCAGGGGTGATAGACGGGGGCTGTGGACTCAGAGGGCAGACACAGGACCCTCAGAGAGGGGTGGTCCTCAGGAACAGAACCCAAACGCCGTAAACAGGGCATCCTCCCCATCACAGCTGGCCAACTCGCCAGTGTGCCCCATCACTAGAGGGCCCAGTGTCTGGGGCGGATTCAGAAGGCACCTGTCCGCGATGGAGCCCAAGCCTGTTCCCTGAG